AAGGTCTCCATAAGATCTTATTGTTACTTGCCAGTGTTTTCTAAACTGCTGACCCCTTTGCTTTCTGAAGGTATTAAGTATACATATCTGACCTGCTCAGATAGAAGGTAAGGTACAACAATCTGGTGGAAAGACTTCCTGCTTTGAGTGTTCAAAGAAGGACTTTAACAACAGAGTTAAGAAGTCAGGTTGTTAGTTCAGTGTTCTCCAGATACAGTTGGACTACAACCTCATAGTTGGTAACCAGCATAACTACTGGCTAGATTGGGTAGGAATTCTGGGAGTTGAGGATGATGTCAGGCTGGGGAAAGCTGTTCAGCTAATCCTGCATCTTTGAGAAGATTGAATGCAGAAGTAACTTGTGCTCAGATCAAGTTAACCCAAGTCAAAAGTCAGCAGGGCCCAATCTTGTGTAGCATGCTACGAGACAAACTCAAACCACAGTTATTTTATTCTATTTATTAAATTTCAGCTGTGATATTGAATAAATTGACACTCATAAAAGATGTAACACACAATAAATAATAATACATTATTTAATAAAATAAATATATGCACAAATAAAATATTCAACTTTTTTTTTCTAACCTGAAACAGAAACCTTTTCAGATTAACATAAGGAAGAATGCTATGGAGGCTACTTCCAAGGAGCTTGTCTTCAAAATTTAACAGACATTCATCTCTATTAATTTTTGGTGCCACACAAGGAGGTGGTTCCAGTTGTCACATCAATGCCTATGGGATGGAAGTGATAGGCCTTGCCTATCTTGATTCAGCTACATCACAAAAATAGGAACCAGCAGCTCATTAGAACAGTACTCAAATTGGAGGGAGGGGTGTTGTCTAACTTAGGTAAGAGTAGTTTCTACCTGGCTCCTCATCTTCCTTCTCCTTGGTCTATTGGAATGGCATCCTCCATGTTGCCTAGCAGAAAAATTGACTTATTCCCCAGGCTCAGTAGCACATGCACCAAGAGGGATCATGGCCTTAGAAGAGACAGTTGGCGCGGGTGCAGGCAGTGAGAGTGGAGGCACGTGGTCCCAGCCTACCACCCAGCAGTCTATCGAGAGCTATCTGCTCAGCCTGAGTCTGCTGGGCCTCTAGCTCTTCCTTGGAGGAAGAGGAGGGATTTAACAACTCGTTCATAAGAACTGGGCTGAACCAACAAGAACAGGGATGAAGAAAGGCTATTTATTATGCTTCTACATTTAGCCACTGTTTCTATGAAAAGGTAGTTTTAACCCTCCTGAAATAAACTGTGACTAATCTGGGAAGTTCCTCTTATTTCTCACCCCAGCCTGGTGATGTCTGTGAGTCTAGTCTGCAGTGATTTGAGTCTTGCTCTCAAAATGAGATTTCTGCAACAAAAGTTCTAAGCCCTGATTTCTATCTCAGCTTTATAACTCTGAGAATGCTCACTTACCTAGTAAGCATTTTAGTGCAAACCGTGCAGTGCAGGAAAGCATGAGTACTCCTGATCTTTAAATGGAAATGCTTTCAGATTAGTGGCAGAGACAAACAGGACATTATGCGAAGCTATTTTTAGGATTGTTTACAAGAATGCCATTATTATTACTGTGCCATAAATGGTGGCTCTCAACCTTTTGTCTCTTAAGTCCCACCGATCACTCTTTCAAAGAGTCATGAGGCCTGCCACAATAAACAAAACAAAAAATATATTTCCTCCAAAAAAGACCATTTGTATATTTACAGGCTTTTTGTTATTATAATTATCATCTACCTAGACTACCTCTGAGTTCCACCACTGGTACACATTCTACTGGTTTAGAACCACTGCATAAACTGAAAAAGACAACAAAACTTCAAGCAAATTCAATAATCCATATTAGCTACTTCCTTCAAACCAGATTAGCTACTTTCTAGAAACCAGAATTGTTCCTTCAGATCTGTCTCTTGATGGTTATTTTAGATATTTAGATGATTTTTCTACATATCTGCCCCTAATGTTGGAGGTTCATCATCTTGGCCCACAGTATTGCTCTACTGATTAATGACTGAGAGATGGTGATCTCCCCTTTGTTGGGTGTATTCAAGAGAAGGCTGGACAACCATCTCACTGGGATACTTTAACTGGAATGTACTGAGCAGGAGGTTAGACTGAGTGGTCATAATCTTCTGAATGGCTTGCCGTTCTCATTCCTCAGCCAGCAAGCTAAAGGTATTTTGCATATATCTGGCAAGCAGTAGACATAATCTGTTAGGCATTTTCATAAGCCTGCCAGAGGACAGCAATCTGTTGATTTTTCATTATTAAAGGAAACCAAAATCAAATTCGTCATGTTGAGCAAATTACCTTACCTATAGTAGAAGGTGTTAATGTGGATTGTTTCAGGTGAACTTATTTCAAGTGTAATACAAGCATTTGTTTAATGTGATAAACCTCACATGAGCCCTAAGGAAATAAGATGGTTGCAGAACGCAGAGATTGTAAATTCAGACTTCCTGGTGATACAGTCATATTCATAATAGTAGTTTAAAAAGGCGTTATAAGCACCTTTGGGTTCGCTTTGTATCTCTTTCTTGATTACTCCTTCTCTAGAATGGGGAAAACCTGTAAATTACATCTCCCATTACCCTTCTCCAGAGGTTGGTGGAAGTTAAAGTCCAACAGTGTCTTGAAAGCCATAGAACATCTATCCTGAAGATGCCAGAAGATTCTATTTAGTCCTCCACTGTTACATAGAGCTTACAATGTACTGACAGTTAAAATAGTTATTCCTGTTATTGCGAACAAAAGTGGAACATAATAGTTTAAAGTGAGAATAATACTTATATATTTGGAAGCCTTCCAAACTGATACAGTTTCAATAAAAAGTGTTACACTCCCTCATTTAATTCCTATTCCTTTCCAAATGCATGATCGTAAAAATGAATGTAAGAACTTTCCAAGTTGCTCCATTAACATGGCAAGAAAGGAACATCTGCAGCTATAATGGGGAAAGTGTGAGCTACCAGATGTAGATTCCAGCTCTCATCAACTCCAGCCAACCAGCAGAGGATTGACTAACTACATGACTTATAGCTGTAGGATCCTGGGTTTGCTTCTATTTCTTCACAGCAGTGTTTCTCAACCTTGGCAACTTGAAGATGTGTGGACTTCAACTGCCAAAATTCCCCGGCCAGCCATGCTGGCCAGGGAATTCTGGGAATTGAAGTCCACACGTTTTCAAGTTGCCAAGGTTGAGAAACACTGCTTTAGATTATCAAAGATACATCAAGAAGCTGACAAGAAAAATCATCTTCAACTAGAACTTCCCAAGAAGCAAGATAATGGGCATTTTCCCCTCCAAAAAATAATTGATAAATTAAATAAGAAAATTCCCAACTTGGTTAAATAGGTGGGAGAACAGCTATCAGATATCTCAACATTACCACCCTAATTTGCTGGACTATAAGAAGGAAGAGGAAGTAGAGAATAATCAGACTTGCAAGATTATCTTATTTTAGCTAATTTCAAAAAAAGTAGTTTTAGCCTTCCTATGGAGTTGATTTGCCGGTCTGGTCTACCTAGTGGGCTGATGCTTGTGTGAATGAACTTACTTATTAACCAATAAGTGAGTAAGGGAGTGGGATTGCTCAAAAGTAGGAATTCCAATTCACATATTGTATTTATTAAAAGCCCCCCAGTAATACTCTCTGGGCAGTTCACACTCATAATGTAACAATATCTAATATTAAGATGCTATAACTATAAAGCAGCAAAGTGTCAACAAACTTGTGCCATAGTTTGGCTAAAATAAAGGACAAGTACGCACTCACATTTTAAAAGGAGTGGTATAAGTTTATAGATAATCTGCTTATGATAATATATATTAGAGAAAATTATATGCATATATAGGGAGAAATGTACACCAACAGGACACAACTTCCAGGCAAACTTTTAAATTAAAACATTCTGAAATGGATGTAGAAATAAGAGAAATCTTAAATCTGAAGATCAGAAAAGGCAAAAATAGAAAAGAGATGGGTTGGTCTGTCACTAGTTAGGAGGAAAAGTCATCTCTGTTGGAACCACCTGCTATGTTTCATTTGATAAGAGAACGTGTAGCAAGGTCACTGAAGGAGATCCCAGGCTATGGCTATAACAGTGCAAGGATATTCATGTAAGGACAGAAATCAGCATGGGAACTATGCTTATTCAGGGTTAAGTATTGTTATGTGGAATTGTTTTATGACTCCTGGGAAACTTTTTTGACCTTGGGAATTGCTTGGCTTGGTTACTGCGGACATAAAGGCAGCACTTCCCCTGGCCCGCACTGCCCCTTCCAAATTATATAACTTATTTCCATCAGCACGACCTGATCTGGGCTGCAAAAATCCAGCCCACAACAGAGACCTATGGAAAAATGAACTCTTCAGCCATCTAGTGGTCATCTGGATTTTTACAGCTCAGGTACAGGAGCTTTAATCTCTATGCAATTCATGAACGCTGGTTCCCTGCTCAAGCATGAAATCAGCTCAACCAATTGGTCCATTCATTCAGTACTACTTATTCTGGACAATGACACTTTTCTACAATAGCTTTTCCAGACCTGGGTGCCCTCCAGATATATGGATTCCAATTCCCAGAATTCTCAGTAATGGTGAATGCTCAGATTAAAGAAACCTACTCTAGAGTCTCAGGAAGAGATCTTCCAGTGTTCCTTACCCACGTTCCTCTAAGGGGAGAGAAGCTGGGATGTTCCACACATAAAGTATGTGCTCCTGTATTCATCCACACAAAATAAGATTGATCCAGAGAACAGATACACCAAATCTAAGGGCATCTGAGCTCATACACACAGACTTCTAGGCCTAAAGCAACATAGCAAAGTGTATATTTTAAATAAATCAACCTGATGTCTGTGCTTAACAACACCACGGCATGAATAACAAGCTGTATGAGAATGTAATGTATATCATAGTCCTCATCGTTTTCCAACTCAAGAAGAAAAAAAAGAAAGAAAGAATAACAAATGCTAGAAAATGGTGCCAAACAACAAAGCTTAGATTTTATACATGCACATCAATTTAGCCCTAAAGTCTTAAAAGCCCAGGGGTCATCCCAACCCCTTTAATACCAAAGGGCCTAACGATGCCGCAGATCAAGCACCAAGCCCAAACCTGCTTTTGTCTGAGAGAAGATGAAAGCTCCGTAAAACAGGTGAAGACTTCTTTTGAATCATCACCTGCAATTAAACAAAGGAAAACGTAGAGGAGGTGAGTAAGCTGAACTCGTGTTTAAAAGGCACCAAGAGAGCAGGTGGATGCTTGCTGAAGACGGCTAGCAGAGGTTGGCTGTCATTCTTTCACCAAATTCGGCACGATCACCCACCTTCGCTGTGCAGAGGAACGGGGTCAGTTGCAAAGGAGGGTGTTCCAAACAGAGGAGGGAATAGAAGGAGGAAGCGGTAAGAAAAGTCCTCATCTTCCTGGTTATCTTTAAGTTTTCTAATAATTTGTATTCTGAGAAATGTCCATCCTTAAGTTGTGCCCTGGCTAGAAAGTTATGCAATACTCAACATACATAGTATTGTATGCCAGGGAGATAAACCTGTAGTTTCCTGGCTGGAATCAGCACCCGCTTTTCAAAGGCCTCTCCACAATTCAGCAGAGCAGCTGCCTAAAATCAGCCAGGCTGTTTCCTCTATGTTCAGGTGGGAATTTAAAAAGAAAACACAGCTCTGGATAAACCTCAGAACAAGCTTTGCCAATTTAAGAAACAACAAATTCCTGGGGAAAGAAATAGAACATTCTGGCCCCTGCTGACATGTATATCGCACGTCTGTTGTAGCCTTTGCTTCCCAAAATCAATTAAGCGTAGCCCCCAGCCACAAAAGATTGCTCGCCTTTATTGTAGCAAGGAACATCCGTGCATCTTTTTTGATGAACATGCTTGCAATGGAATGTCCCAAGAGGTGACAGATTCCCACGTGGGCACACAGAGAAAAATGGATGTAAGTACAGTATATTCTTCACTTACAGTCAGTTTCGTTACGTGCCATCTTGCCTATCTGCAATGTTCATTTTGCAACTCTATTGTATGAAGAATCCCCCAGAGGTCCAAAAATAGTGATTGTAAGGGGGTTGTTTGAAAGAAGAGCCCCAAAGTTCAACACGCAGATGCAAACACCACTCACAAACACAAATGAAGCATTTTTCTTTAGCTGAGTCGGAATATTCATGTTTGTGAAGCAGGTCTGAGCTGTAAGATCAGCAATATCATACAAAATCATATATGGTCAGAATCACAAAATCATATATGGCCAGCAGACATATACCAAGTCTCTCTTCCTACTTCAGATTGTGTATCAGCAGTTATATGTGTTCCCCCATACAAAAAAAAAAATCTACTGCACATAGAGAAATATCACACCAGAGATAGAACTAAAGTGAAATTTCAGACAATTTATTGTTTTTTTAAAAAAACAGAAAGTATGCTTCTTCCTGCTCTCCTTTTTCCCTTCCAAATAATTCAGTCCAGCATCAGATGTAGCACATGAGTCTCTGGACTGTGAAACTGGGCTATTATTTGTTTGTTAGATTTCTTTACTGCCTCTCATTCAGGACTTCAAGGTGGCATCAACATTGGTCTCACTTCCCTTTTTCCCCTCAACTACAGCCCTGTGAGGTAGATGGGCTTGTGAAAGAATGACTGGCCCATATCACCCAGGGATCTTCAGTGGCTGAGGATGGACTAAACCACACTTTTACTCAGCTCAGCCTTCTTTAATATGTATGTGTCTTTGCGTGTCCCTGACATGCATAACATATTGGTCTGAAGAAAGATACTTTGGGTGTTGGGATTCCAATGAGTAATCCATATTTCATGTCTGAGGGTAACAAAAGCAGGGTCAGCTAAGTTAATTGTCCCCACTACCGCATTCACAGGGGAAACCAAGGGGGGAATCCAAAAAGTCAAGATGGTGGCCACAACCATGCAGTTGAAGCCCTGGCCCTTTTGGTTACATGCAAAAAAGAGGCAGGACTTAGACTGTGTGGTCACAGACACCATCTTGACTTTTTGGACTTTCCCCTGTGGATGCCTTGGAAAACTCACTATTCTGAAAAATGACACGGATCATAATCCCAGAAAGAGTCAACCACAAAGTAATTAAGAGCATGACTTTAAAAAACGTAAACTTAAAACACAAGCAATAATAATAACAATTAACAAAAAGTATTTGCTAACCTTCATTTTCTTGAAAGAAGAAAAAGTGTCACAGCATCTTCACAATGGTCATAAAACCCCTTTATATGTTGTCAGAAGTTTGGTTGCTATGGTAGCTTCTCGGCTATCACAGTGCAGTCCACAGTCCCGTCTAGAAGGCACATGGTCCAGAACACTATAAGCAAGGCAGTGTGAGATTAGGATCCTATTTAGAATAAATCCACAAAAGCTCATAGGCCGATCTAAGTAAGTCTGAATCAAACATCTTCAGATCTCAGAGCTACATTTATTACCAAGGTGTGGCTTTAGCCACCCCATTGCTGTTTGCCAAGGAATGCTGGAAACTGCCATTGGTGGAGCGGAGAAATTAGGAAATTCAGAGCCCTCAGCATCTCTGCAAACTATCATCCCCAAGGTACTCACGTAAGGATGGCCCTGCCCATATTTGTACACCTTAACAGCTATGCAGGAAATAAAACTCTCCAAGGCCCAACAATTATGGCAAGGATGAAATTGGGAAGACCAGATTCCAGACCATGCACTTCATTGAGAAGTGTAAGAATTACTTCAGTGGGTGGGGTAAGGGGTTCTTGATCCCAGGCTGACTCATTGCCAGCCAAATGCACAGAATCAAAATCAAATTGCCTGCCTGAAAATGCATAAAAGAAAAAGAAATAGAATCAAAATACACAACTGCACACTAAATAGAAAAGCCTTTCTCCCTTGCTCCATAGGTTACATGCAGATGGAACATTCAGCCAAAAGACCAAGAGGCTTCTCTCCAGCATGCTCCCCTACCCACCTGTTGTGTTTTTCTCAGGTCACCGTGGATTAGAGAACCCCAAGTGGCATTTCTTCTGCTTAGCTTCCTGTAAGATCAATTGTTGTTGTTGTTTAGTCGTTAAGTCGTGTCCGACTCTTCGTGACCCCATGAACCATATTGCGCCAGGCCTTCCTGTCCTTCACTGCCTCCCTTAAAACTTATTTTTAGCAGCTGGCTTTCCTTTGTGATCCTAATGCATAAGGCAGAACAAAGACTGTCTCCTTGCTACTGCATCCCACAGATCCTGTAAATAGTGGCTCACCTGTGTGCCATTTTAATATACAATTTCTATTTCTAAGTTGGGCAACTCAAGAAAACTTTATGACCACATGTGACATTCCTTTAAGTTCAGTGGCATGGAAGGAAGTTGGTACAGGTCAAAGAGGAACTAGAACTGAAAGGGGACCAGAATGTTTGACCAAGGTTGAAGTGCCAACATATCCAAAAACGATGTGTCACACCTTCAGTTTAACCTACAACATGCAGTCATTTTGCCAGTGTAAATAAACATGCAATCTTCGGCTCCTTGAAGAAATAAGACTGCCATAATTTTACAGTCAATCTCCATCTTATTCTTCCAGATATACTTGCAGGTATTTCTTCTGTGCTGATAAACATCTGTGATTTTCTTACAATACACTGTACAGACATATTTTAGCCTAGGAAATCAAGCTTATGTGGTTTGTGATTTAGTATATTATTCAAACCCCCAAAATTGGATTAAACAAACTGTGGTTAATTGAATATGCATAAATACCTCATGAACACAACCTAAATCTCTTTCAGAACAGAAATTTGCCTTTCAGTTCCTTGATCTTCCTTTCTTTAACCAAGCTTGTTGTGCTCCAATCTGGAGGAATTATTCTGTACATGAACTGATGCCATGTGTGAAATACAAAACAAGTCTGTCATAGTGGGCAAAGATTGATTCAGTGTCTAGAGGGAAATGGCCTTTCCTGATGGCCAAAATGGTTAGGGTCTTGGAAGTTCATTCAGTTGTTTAGTATCCTTCAGTAAGATCAATGTTCTTATTTATGATGATTCCATAGAACCTTCTCTCACATTCATTCTTGCTCTTTTTGCCATCCTTTCTCCTTTTTGATGAATGGGGTTAAAAAGAGATGGCCCAGGATTTCAAAGGTTACCTCCTCAACTATCCATGCTAGCAGAACAATGTAAAACCCACAATGCATCTTCACTTTTAAGGCTCATGACACTGATCCATAACTAAGATTAAAACTAACTTGATTGTAATATATGCTTGGACAATCAGGAAAAAAGGCATTTAAGTTTCCAGATTAATTGGAGGAAGACATCATGAAGTCTGTGGAACTTAACTTTAGAATTTATCTCATAGCTTTGTCTGACATCCAAATGTATTCGGATGAAAGGTATGCTGGCCGGAAATTCTGTGAAAATTACTATAGTCCTAATTCATCTGGAGGGCATCAAGCCATGGAAAGATGGAGTATAAGGTGGTATATTTAAGATTATAAATGGTTTGCATGTTATTTTAATAAGAGAGGGCTCAGGGGTCATTTCCCCAAAAGTGACTTCATTCTTCACAAGGCTTGGAAACATAAAAGGAAAAAAAGGGGGGGGTTACTTTGGATCATAAGATTGAACACTTAATACATTCATTCCACCTTTCACAATTATTTTTGTTTTTAATACACAAATCTACGATAAAGATGCTCTTCGGCATCAGTTAGTAACAATTATTCTCTCTTCAGTTTCACTCACATGTTCCCATGGCAGTCATCCAAGATGTTGGAATATTAAACCGGCTGAGCAGGTAACGGTAGTTAGTTTCATTCTCCCAATCTTTGCAAGAACTTGTGTTGTGGTATTTAAACCATTGACAATTTAACTCATTAGGCCAAATTTTACCTTGATGCAAATACTCTATTATCCATGCTAAGTATGGAAAATATAGGTAGATAGGAGCTATTTTGTAAAAATGATTTCAGTGATCACCTGCATCATAATCTCCCTATTACTTTGATCTGTATAACCAATGTATCCATTTGTCAATCTAATTGTATAGATTTTTTTTAAAAAAAGGGTTGATCAAATGGAAAGGTGCACTTGAATGGGCCAGCTGCAGAGCTCAGTTAGCAAGCCCTTCAGCTCCTGTGCTATGAAGCAGAACAGGCCATAGGGAGCATCTGTTCCATTTTCCAAACAGCTTGACTAGATGGTTGGTCTGTCCCTGAGCACAACTCACCACATTTACCTTGAGAGCAGCTTTGTGGGAGGGTTTAATGGACAGCCTTTCTTTTTTCCCACGCAGATCTGCTTCTGGGTTGAAATCATGACTGAAGAGTTTTTTTGCATCTATGCTAACATCTTGTGACAATGAATCATGTAATTTAATTATTAATTGTGGGAAGCAATCCTTTTATTCTTATTTTATTCTTAAACCTCAGAAGGTGACATGATTATGATTATGCTGCAATGTGAAATCCTCCTCTTCGGGATGCCAGCCAGCTCTGTCCCTTTTCAGGAGATTTCCATTCCTCTCCTATACACCGACCCTTTGCATGCATTCTTCATCAATAACTGAGAGCTGAAATATGCAGAGAACACGGCAGTGAGCCCCATACCTCTCCCCTACATCTTTCCAGCTTTCTACCGCACATCTCTCCCCCTGACTTCCATAGAGAAATCATAGCTCAATGAAAGGATGCCAGGAAGAAGGAGGGACAAAGGAGGCTACTAAAGCATGTGGTACCTCGTTCCTTACACACACACTCGCCTGCACACATTTTTTTAAGAAAGCCCAAAGATGAGAGATTGTGTACCTATCAAGCTTGGGCAGTTGTCATTGGACTGTGCCTTTTTTGGGTGGAAAGACCCCTTAGGAATCCTTTTATCTAAAGATTTTCTGTACACCCTAAGGATGCTCCCATTTGAGGATTTTGGCTGCAGAAGAATGTATACTCAGAGCATGACTTTTCTCTTGGAATATTTATCTTAATGGCAGAAATCCTGCATGACAGTCCAATCTCTTGATTTTGACAAGACTCCTAAAATCTCAGAGGGTGTGATTTTGGCAAACTTATGAGATTTCAGCCATTTAAAAAATATATTTTTAATTTTAATTTGGAGGTTCTGCAAATACCATCTTCTTGATGCTCTTAGACATTATAATGCCAATCTGTGTTCAAACACATTTCTCTCTTCCCCATGACCACCAAACTTGTCTCACTTAAAAAGCCTATCCTTCTTAGGAAAAATGTTTATAGGTAGTCCTTGTTTAGCAACTGCTTCATACAGTGACCATTCGCACTTACAACAATTATGAAAAAAGTAATTTTGCAACCAATTCTTGCATTCATGACCTTCACAGGTCTGTAAAGCAAACGACAGCTAAAATAAGATCATAAGCACAGTCACAGTTTCACTTAGCAACAGCTTCACTTAACAACCGAGTTGCTGGTCCCAATTGTGGTCACTAAATGAGGACTACCTGTATGTTTTTCTGGCTAATTTAATTGTTCTTTTTATTTTAAAATATCCTTGTTATTGCTAAAATTGCACTTAACAAATTGATATAAATTATGATAATTTTTTTTTTTTTGTCTGCGCTCAGTCATTACTGACCCTGCAGTGACT